GGGATTCGGAATGGAATATCTTTTGCATCAACCTTGCCTATATTTATATGGCTGGCTCACTATTGATTTGCCAATGGTAACAATTAATATTTTGCCTAGCCAATTATATTGCTTATTTTATGACCAATGAAAACTATTTAAAATATACAATTATCTACGTTTCGTTTCCCGGCGTGAGACTTGTTTGTTGTTCACGAAGCTACGTCGCTGGACCGGGCTATATAAGACATGCAGATCGGTGCGCACGCGTAGTCGGCGGGCGGCGGCGGTGTGGAATACAGCTCCGGAACAGCAAGAGGAAACGAACTGCGGCGTTGAAGAAACGGCTCACCATTGGTCGACGGATACGTGACGATAGCGGCGTGTGAAGTCGGTGTGGCGCTGAATGATATTTGCGGCTGCTTCTTGTTTCTTTATAAGAACGTCAAATTATCTATATACAGTCCGCAGTATCTCAGTAGCCAAGAATAATTAGGAAATAAAATGTTTTTTTATTTATTCTCGCCTTCCGCGTTATGGTAGCAGCGGAGTATATATTATTTATTCCCGTTTAGGTTTGATTAATCTGGCTGCTACACATATAAATGATGAACGGTCACTGTGTTATCCACGAGGTTTAGTGTAAAAACCCAGCGCTAAATATTTATACAATTAATTTGAAAGTTACCGGCGGCCGGACGGAGTGGGCGTTTTAATTTGCCGATTCGCTATAAATAGTTGAAATTGATCTTTGCATGGCCTAGAATATTACGAAAGTACGTAAAGTCCATAGTAGTTTTTTCAAATTTTCGTAACTGTCGTCCGTATTTAACTACCTAAAATATATAAGTATTCCGTGTTTCTTTCTATGTGTGATAAACTAAACGGGATCATGTAGGAAATTAGAAATTCTAAGTAAAGGAACAACATGGCCTATTTACCTTCCTTTGCCTTCTACCATTGGATGACGGGCCCCAGCGCTTTCTTACCGACATACCTACTTAACATATCTTTGCTTACCACACATTCGAACCAAACGGTTTATTTCGTCCTTCGTAATGTAACCAACGTAACGTAACATAATATGTTTAATTAGTATGTTAATAATTGCCTACTATATACATATTATGTATATAGTAGGTAATTATATTCTGCTTGTTGCGTACAACAAAGAAGTTGCAATTTGCCAGCGTCAGTTTTACCATCCGATACCTACAGACGTACACTATGTCAATATCTTATAGGCTGGATTACATAATTTTTGTTAAGTTAAATTAGCTTAGTGCGCATAACTACCCACGATTAGATCACCACTTACTTCCATACCATGGGTTAGTGGTTAAGGACTTGGTTATAATGCGTTGAAAATCATAAATAGTCCAACTATATAGATATATTGCCTGGAAGTGACAAGGCATCTTATGTCGCCTCTACACGTTGGCCAACACAGTGGCGAATGGAGTGGCGAATATATTGGCCGAGAGTTGGTGACGGCGTCCACACGTTGGAACGTCGTTCAGTTTACTTCGGTTCGGGCCAATGTACGGACGAATTTATTTTATTTTAGACGACGGCTCCGTGGCGCAGTGTTTCAAAATTGGTTTTGATTTTAAAGTTTAGCAAAATATGTACGTGCATTTCTATCAGACATTTGATGTATATAAAAACACCTTATAATTTATTTGGTAATTTAATTATTTTTTGAGAAAGACAAAAACAATAGCAATAAAAATATAATTAACACTGACTTAATAATAGGTACTAATTATAACTTAGAACATAAATGAAAAACTCATGACGAGCAAAGTGGCTCAGGACCATGCTTTGCGGCAGTCTGTGGAGGAGGATGTTTAGTAGTGGACTTGTGAAGAGCTGTAATGATGATGATGATTCGAAAACTTGCACGATTAAATTATAAGCAGTCGACGTTTTTTTATAGGATAGGGTGACAAACGAGCACACAGTTCACCTGATGGTAAGTGGTTGCTGTGGCCCACAGACATCTACACCTATCCTCGATTACGAATTAAAATGCATATGCGTTCTCACCCGTGAGGAATAAGATGAAATGCCTCGTTTCCTTTGAAAAGGGTCTCTGGTTCTCTACACTCACTATATGAAATACAGCATCATTAAGCTACTATTTTACGCTGATATTCTGTGAGAGCGTGGTCCTTCCCCGGTTGAGCCGACCCATTCGTGCTACAACTATACTTCTAATATAATTTGCATGGTTCTACCATGTATAAACGACGTGCTTCATTTTTTTTTTTCATTTTAAAGTTGTTCTCGTAATAATGTGATTGTGAATAAAAGTTTGTTATTTTTTTGATAAATAGTTAATCGATTAAAACAAATGTTTAAAAATAATTAAATCGTGCTAATTAAAGTAGTAGGAATGTTTAAAGTTGAAATTGGCACTAAAAGGCTGGTAACTGGGGCATCCATCCTACAAAGATTGAATATAAAATTTAAATCAGATGCGTGTAATCACTCTGGGAGCTTGTAGGAAACTAAACGCGCGGCCAACGTGTGGACGCGGCGACCAAACTCTGCCAACAATCCTTTGATCTTTTGTAAAAAACCGACACCACACGGATCTCGCGCCAACTTGTGGGCCATTGTCCCAATACATACTAATGAAGCCCAAACACCCCGTCTACACGTTGACCAATGCTATTGGCCACTACATTCGCCACTGTGTTGGCCAACGTGTAGAGGCGCCGTAAGATGCCTTTCCTAGGTAGGTGGGTACTGTTTTCCATCACAAGATATTGAAATGGAGTAACCGTGAGTTTGCACTGACGCGATTTTAACAAAAAATCATGTTTTAAACACTGTTTACTGTCAACGGGTGCGTTTGGCAGAAAAAAGCGCTAGCAAGCGCTTGTAAGCAAAATGGCGATCGTAAGCGGTAAGCGCTGTCAAATCGTAAGTAGCTATTTTCCTCTAGGACACAATGTTACTTTTAACCGGGGAACCTAACCTAATTTAAATATATGTTTGTGAAGTATTCATATTAAAAACTTACCAATCATGAATTTTTAATAACATGTATATGTCTATTCATGTCATTATATTACTTAAAACTAATATTATAAAAAACAACTTATAAACTCTACTTCAAAACAAACAAATTAAATAAGCAAAATGGCGGATTGTGTTAGCTCTACTGAAGTAGCAATCGTGTCCTGTCCGAAAACTATTTTAGCGCTAGTAAGCGCTTGCTAGCGCTTTTTTCTGCCAAACGCACCCAATGTATCAAAAAGCGTTTACATAGTCAAGGAACATATTGCAGTGAAATATGTTTGACAGTTTATTGTACATTACATATTTTAACTATATTACATCTTTATAACTACAGAAACAAAATGTTTGAAAACAAATTTTTAGAAATATTGTCATGTTGAAAGATAAGTTTGAATATCTGTTGAAAATTTTACACAGTTTTTGTGAGTGCGAACTCTACCATGAACAAAACATGTTGTGTGATTTATTTTATGCGATTAGTTTCAAAACATTACGTGTTTGATGTTTCTCAGTGCAAACTTACTGTAATAGAAACTTAAAGTTATAGTCTGTAATACGTCCCACTCCTTGGTACAGGCCTCCGCTTATTTTTTCTCACGTGTTAGAAATATTTGTTTTCTTATTTCCCAGGCATGCAGGTTTCCTTTTTTTCCCACGATGTTTTCCTTCACCGCCGAGCACGTGGTAATTCAGCACTAACAATTTCATTGGTGCCGGCGGGGATCGAACCAGGTTTGCTCGCGTATTATCAAATTAACAGCAAGCGCTAACCATCTGAGCGACCACGGCTCTTAACTTTAACTTAAACTTAGTATGTATTTATTTTGTTTAATTGGCATTCAAGCTTAAATTATTACCCAGTAGATTACTGGGTAATAACTTGAATGCCTCCCGCGTCCGTCATGCATCGAACATTGACTTCTATCTAATTCAAAACCATATGGCCACGCTCACGCAGTAAATCTCTATAGCTATTAGTTATTGCGCATGTTATCAGTAATTGCTAAAGTTGCTGAAGGTTATCACTTAAAGAATAACTGAGTTAAATACTCTGGATATTCCACTGGAAAAAAAATAATAAAAATGATAATTATTATTTACTGTTTATAAAGTTTATAATATACAGTTTATAATATAAATACATTAGGTTCGTTGTTTTGTCGCAAATTATATTTCTATAGGATTTTTTATATCGTAAGTATGACAAACGTACTGACAATCCACTTGACGATCTGTAAGTGGCTAGTGATGTACCGGCAGCCTACCTATATACCTAGATGCCATGGTTGGAGTGAAAGGATTTGAAGTTGGTAAAAGTTTACCTTGCATTCGTATTGTCCCATAGCCATTGACGACTTTAAAACATGTCTAGAAACCCAACAAAAATATTTCTATTTTTAATTTTAGGACTTCTTTTTCTTACAGTGTTGTCCTTCATCGCTTAGAACGTGATTTAAGCTCTTAAAATTATTCAGTGCGAACTTGGTGGTGCTCATCACCATCTAAAATTTGGGAAAAAAATGTACATACTTTATTATGCAATGAATAACTGTAGTTAGTAATTTTACTAAACAAGTGCTTACATATTTGTTCATTTTGAAAACTTTATTGCATTAACCTAAAAGGGACTTATTAACAGTCGGTGATCTCTAGGTATCACTAAACCCAGTCAATCCTTGGAGTAGAGAAAAGTAAAGGCATTTTTAGTTTTTATTCCTTTTTGCAGTAACAGTATATCTAAGTATACTTTAATATACGTTGGAGTAGAGAAAAGTAAAGGCATTTTTAGTTTTTATTCCTTTTTGCAGTAACAGTATATCTAAGAATACTTTAATATACGTTGGAGCATAGAATAATAACACCTAGAAGCCGAGTCCGCGTCCGTAATGTGAGGCAACTTAAACTAAGCCAGTATGGCTCAGTTCAATACTCGGCCCGTTAGTGCTCAGTGTCGTATCGTGCTAACAACAGCTCTCATAATTTTAATTAAAATGACGGTTTGTGCAGTGAACGGATGTCACAATACATCAGAGAAACACAAGAAACATAGTGACATTACATTTCACGTGTAAGTAGTGCTTTTGAACTTATATTTTTACGTAAAATATTCATCAAAAATAAATATGAATTTTTAAAAACTGACACATGATATTATATGGAAATGTTGCCAAAGTGTGAAAAAAATTCTCCCACATTTTGTCGTTTAATTAAAAGTAAAATACGTCAATAAATTTGAATAAAATACAACGCATTGTTTTTATTTAAAAAGTATGGATGATAAATTTTAAGGAAATTTATTATATAGTCTGATAATAAATGAATGTTTCATTTTCGTTTTAGGTTTCCTTCTGATCCGATCATTGCAGATCGTTGGACAGAAAAAATCAGACGCAATCGAAATGATAGCAGTTGAAAGCCCACTAAAAATACAAAAATTTGTTCTTTACATTTTGAGGATGAAGTAAAGTATATTACTAAAGGTGGCCTATGTAGATTACGCAAGGGTGCAGTTCCAACTAAGGTATAAAAAATTCCGCTCTATACCTATAAACTGTTTTAATATGGATTGCTTTTTAATTTTTTTTTCTTACGTTTAATTTTTGTGTTCTAGGATCTACCCGTTTTTAGCACGGAAGAGAAGAGTGATGATTTAAGTCAAGAGCAAAATCAACCTCAGCCGGTAAGTTTTTTATAAATCAACACAAAGCCAAGTCACATAATTTATTTGTGGTTTTAAGCATTCACAATGCCATTATTTTCAAAAGAAAATACTGCAGTAGAAAAATCGACTGGTATCGAGCAGAACTCGAATTCACGACAAGAGAAAAAGAAGAGCAGTCGCCCGGTTAGTGAATGATCGTGGGTTCGAGTCCCACTCGATACCAGTCGATTTTTTCTAGTGCAGTATTTTATTAAGTCATAGTCATCATCATAGTCACATAATGTAAATAAAATTAATGGTAGGGAATGCCAATAAGCGTTCAGTCCACCTTTTGTGTAGTAAAATAATAATAATATAGGAACTAAACTAACAGTAAATTATTATGTCGATTGACGAGTAGCTATTGGCTTATTTTTATTTATATTTTCTTTATTGCACGAATAAGATGCATAAACAGTGGACTTTATGCCTTATGGCATTCTCTACCAGTAAATCAGTATGTGGGGCAGATACGTACTTACTACTTTATTAATTTGTATAAATGTTTTTCAGGAAGCCTCAGGTTGTGAGATGGACAAAAATGTTAATCTAAGCGCTTCAATGACACCTTTATCTTCAGAACTAGATTCTATTTTCGATTCACCTAAAAAGGCTTCACTACGGAGACAACTAAGAAAAAAGATCTTGTTGCAACAAAAACACAGTAGAAAGATTAAGACTCTGAAGCAAAAAAATCGACGCTTAAAGAAAAGAAATGCCACTCTTAAAAATATTTTAGTAGAATTACGGAAGAAAAGATATATTAATAATGACATATCCAATATTTTGTCGGAAAATGTATTTGCAGCAGATTTATACAGTAGCTTAGCTAAAAAAATATGTAAAGATAAAAAACGACCGCTGCCTAAATACACTCCAGAATTTAGGAAATTCTGTCTAACCTTGCATTTTTACTCGCCACGAGCTTACATCTATGTTCGTAAAACATTTAATACTTGCCTCCCACATCCGAAAACTATTTACAACTGGTATAAAACCATAAATGGTTCCCCTGGTTTTACAGATGAAGCATTTCATATTTTGAAATCGAAAGTATTACAATGTACACAGAAGAAATTAATATGTGCTTTAGTGGCAGATGAAATGGCAATACGACCACAAAATATAAAAGGAGGCCACGGGCGTGTAGACAATGGCACAGGTACATCTGATTGTACAACAAAGGCTACGGAAGCTTATACTTTTATTCTTGTGTGCTTGAATGAACACTGGAAGATCCCATTGGGATATTTTTTGGTGCATGGTCTTACCGGGGGGCAAAAAGCTAACCTGATAAAAATATGCCTGACTAAATGTGAAGAGGTAGGCGTAAAAGTGGTTGCTCTGACATTTGACGCACATTCGACAAATATATCAGCCATGGAATTATTAGGATGCCGACTAAAGGACGTAGAGAATATGAAAACTACATTCAAACACCCAGCAGCTAATAACGAGGTAGCGGTGTTTTTAGATTCCAGTCATATGATCAAACTGGTTCGGAATCATTTCGAAGACAAAAAAAGTATTCTTAGACCAAGATGAAAATAAAGTGGACTGGGAATTTTTAACAAAATTAAATGACTTTCAAGAAAAAGAAGGTTTACACATTGCTAATAAACTAACGCGTAAACATCTCGAGTTTAGAAACTCTATTATGAAAATAAAGTTAGCAGTTCAACTACTTAGCAGAAGTGTAGCAGTGGCACTGAAATTTTGCCGCGAAGTCTTGAAATTGGACGATTTCAAGAATAGTAAGGGCACAGAAAATTTTATCATGATTTTCAACGACCTGTTCGACATTTTTAATACGAGAAGGTTAACACAACATGGTTTTTGCCATCCCCTTTCAAATTCTAATAAAAAGGAATTATTCGATTTTTTTAGAGAAAACCAAAAAATATATACTTCACTTAAAGATTAAAACTACTAGAAAGCGCAAATACAATGAAAAAGAGAGTTCAATAAATCTCAAAATCAAAAGCTTCCAATCGGCCCTTACTGTAAAGTGCTCTCCTGGCTTTAAAGGATTGTTAGTTTGCATAGAGAGCCTTAAGTACTTATATAATACCTTAGTTGAAGATACAAAAGAACTGGAGTATATTACAACCTACAGGTTGAGCCAGGACCATATCGAGCTACTTTTTGGATTGATAAGAATGCAAAGCGGACATAATGACAATCCAAACGCTCTACAATTTAAGGGTAGCTACAGAAAACTGCTCTGCCGCATGGAACTGCAAGTAAGTGAAACTGGTAACTGCGTGCCACTCGAAAACATACCTATTTTAACATGTTCATCTGCTTTAGCTTGCATCAATAATACTTCATTTTCCGAAAGATTTGATGATGAAGAAAAAGAATTAACAGAACACTTATTGAAAACACCGATTCCAAATGATGTCGGATTCGAAATTTCATCGGGTAGCGATGATCCTAACTGCAGAAACCACATTGTTGGCTATATAGCTGGAAATGTAGCTAGACATCTCACAACCCGAGTAAAATGTAAATATTGCATTGATAACATGCTTGCAAAAGAGAAACTTTGGTTCCATAAATTAGTATGTATGAGGGATAAAGGTGGATTGGTTTACGCCTCAAAAAGAAGTTTATTCTATTTGTAGTGTTATTGAAACTGTTCTGAGACGTTATCTAAAAGAAAATCCAGGCAATATTTCCGAAAAAGAAATCACACTTCTAATTATGAGAAGATTCATAGGAGGAACTCGTATATTTTCTATAGAACACGTTAACTCCCACTTCCATGACACGAATTTGATGAGACTTATTGTCGAGCGCTACTTAAGAATTAGACTGTTCTATGAATCCAAAAAAGAAAATACTTTACGATTCGTATCATCAAAGCGTCAGTTATTTAGGAAACAGTTGCAGTTACAAGGCTACTGAAATAAATGATTTTAATTTTTATTTGTGTTTTTCTAATAAATTTTTCCCAATCACTTTAAGCTGAAATGCATCTACTGTGTGAAACCTGCCAAAATTAAAATGATCTTGTGTTTTTCGTAATGTAGCTTACATCATGCATGCAGTGAGGTGCGGTACACCATTACTCAACAATTATTTAAAAAAAATAGTTAAAAACAAACTGAAAAATATATACTGAATTCGATCAATCGTTCGTCGAACAGTCATGTGTCGGGTATCGGGCGGGTGTGTATATCGAACTTGCATTAGTCAAATAATTATAACGTATACATTTATTATAACCTATACAGTAACAAAGAAAAATATGATGCAATCACATTTCGATGGCTCATAAAAATCTCACTTGGCTAGACAGGCAAATGCGCTATTCAAGAATATTTTGAATTTGGCGGGCTACACTTCGATAACAGAATTCAAAAAACTTATTTTCACATTTGTATCAGTCATACGTTACGTCGTAACCATTAGTCCAATATAGTTTCAACTTCCCTACTTTTGGGGAAAATTTAATGTATTGGCAAAATTATTTTTTCACTTGAGTGCGTTTCGTCTAGCGTAAACACAAGTGGCTTACGCACACATAGATTTTGTTTTTGCCTCACTTAAGAACGTCCGCTTTGTAGGGAACTATCGTTCTAGGTGTTATTATTCTATGCGTTGGAGTAGAGAAAAGTAAAGGCATTTTTAGTTTTTATTCCTTTTTTGCAGTAACAGTATATCTAAGTATACTTTAATATACGTTGGAGTAGAGAAAAGTAAAGGCATTTTTAGTTTTTATTGCTTTTTGCAGTAACAGTATATCTAAGTATACTTTAATATACGTTCGAGTAGAGAAAAGTAAAGGCATTTTTAGTTTTTATTCCTTTTTTGCAGTAACAGTATATCTAAGTATACTTTAATATAAGTTGGAGTAGAGAAAAGTAAAGGCATTTTTAGTTTTTATTCCTTTTTTGCAGTAACAGTATATCTAAGTATACTTTAATATACGTTGGAGTAGAGAAAAGTAAAGGCATTTTTATTTTTTATTCCTTTTTGCAGTAACAGTATATCTAAGTATACTTTAATATACGTTGGAGTAGAGAAAAGTAAAGGCATTTTTAGTTTTTATTCCTTTTTGCAGTAACAGTATATCTAAGTATACTTTAATATACGTTGGAGTAGAGAAAAGTAAAGGCATTTTTAGTTTTTATTCCTTTTTTGCAGTAACAGTATATCTAAGTATACTTTAATATACGTTGGAGTAGAGAAAGGTAAAGGCATTTTTAGTTTTTATTCGTTTTTGCAGTAACAGTATATCTAAGTATACTTTAATATATGTACGTTGGAGATGTAAGAGGCGACAGGAAACAAACCACGAGATTGGCGGCAGTGCCTTACTCATAACACCAAGGAAATAAAATAATGCGTTTTGTAAACTGTGCCGCCTGAGGCCTGAGTGGTCTATGAGGGGCTTACGTCCAGCTGTGGGCTTTTATAGTAGTAGTAAGTAATAATAATTTATTTCCTTACCACAGTACTGTATAACCACTATGCATAAGGTTACAGCCTATAAACGTCCCACTGCTGGGCACAGGCCTCCTTCCGTTTCTAAGATAGTTTTATGACAAGGAACTGTCCGCCGCGCTGCCCCAATGCATGTTTGTGGACTTAAAAATATGTCTTCGAAATATTTTTTTTATTTCTCTGATAAGAAGGTTTCCCACTAATTGCGTGGTAAATCAGCACTTAAAATAGCAATTAACATATTTTTGGTGTAGACGGGGACTAAACCAGGGTTGCTCGCATACTGTGAAATTCATAGATAGCGCTAAGCCACTGCGCTACCACGGTTTTACTATGGATAGTATTAAAGCAGTACTCACAAAAAATATATATTTGACTACCTCGTTGGTCTAGTCGGTTCGTATCCCGCATCGGGTCAAAATCAGTTGTTAGGTTTTTTGTGAAGAAAATCTCAGTAGCAACTTGAAGACAGAAGTTGGCGTTATCCCCGTGCCTCCGAATGCACTAGAAGCCGTTTGTACTTTTTCGGTCGTGTTGGATGTTCGTCCCGTCGAACTATGTTAGTGAGGAAATAGAGAATGCACGTGTGTTGGCGCACACCCTCGTATAATATAATCCAGAGGGCACGAGTGTGTGTAGCAGTAGTAGTAATAATAATAATGTCCTCCAGACCGAATTCCGGCCACGGCGGCCTGCCTTAACGGAGGCTAGCCATGGGCGCAGGACAGGATTATAGTGCCCAAGTGTATGCGCAAGCACATGTGCACTCTCTATTCCCTCACACTCATAATCCGATGGGACGGTAAACCGGAGAGAGATCAGGCGCAGGACCAACGGCTTTACGTGCTTTTAGAGGTACGGGGGTGAGACACCGCCAACTTCCTGACTCCGGGCAACTACTGAGAATTTCTTGACGGAAAATAATATTTTTTTATTAATCAATAATGAATTTTTTGGCCGGCCCGGGATTCGAACCCAGGACATGATCAGTAGTCGCACTACTACAACCACTAGACCAACGAGGCAATCAGCAGCAGTAACAGACCAGTAGTAACATTTGTAAAGCATATCGTTGCAGTCTGTTAAAGTCCTCCGCTGAACATAAGCCTCCCCCATGGATTGCCGCACAGGGGAAACATTTGCAATAACGCCACGCTTGGCGAGCGAGTTGGCCAACGCAGTTTTTTATTTTTCCCAGTTATTAGGAAGATGCTGCTGCTCATCGGATGATTTGTTTCTCTGTCGCATATTACGACCTGTCACCCAGAGGGGTAGGCAGAGACTACGGACTTACATTTGGCACGATCCTGATACACCTCTCTCGCCTCTTCCACATCAATATACCTGCGCATACTATTTTTTAAATATTTAATAAATAAAAATAAATAAATGTCGACTTGTAATTAAACTGGGTTCATTTTATTTTATGAATTCAGGATTGTACTTACATCCTTAAGCTGCGCCTCGAATATTTATGCTAATGAATTGTTTACTTGACTTACCGAGGCAGGCGTTAAAAGCTGAGCTTTATTTGCATTGTATTAGTTCTATGGACACGGGCCAAATTCTTGAGTCACCAGTAGGTTGCCTTGCGGACTGTGTCTGTATACATTTGCTAGCAGAGCAGCGGTGCAAGCTAACTTAAACTGGTAAACGTAATAATAATAATAATAATATATTTATTTGCTTAAAACATGGTATGACAAAGATTTTACAAATATTATATAATCGAACAACATGTTTCGCTAGAGTTACATATAGGATGCAAAAGATTTTTATCGTAAATTAAGACTTATGATTAATATAGTCCATAACACTATAGAAATTATTCTTAATTAGGTATTCCAGTAATTTCGATTTAAATAATCTTTTAACAGTTTAATATTATTTGGTAACTTGTTATATAAACGTACACACATAGATAAACAGCTTTTATTATATTTACTTATTCTAGGATTATCACTTAATATGAGTTTGTACGGGTTTCGCCGGATCCGAGGATTTACATCATCCGCCGTGTTAAATAAATATTTATGCTTCCATACAAACATACATATTTCATAAATATAAAGACATGGTAGGGGTAATAAGTCAAGTTTTTTAAATACCTGTTGACATGATTCAGTTGGTTTAAGCCCACATATTGCTCGAATACATTTTTTTGTGCACGAAATGCTCTATTTTGATCCGTCCCCAGATTATAAGTCCATAGCGCAGTATTGACTCGACGTATGCATGGTAGGACAGAACAGCCGTTTTTATGTTGGTAACGTTTTTTAAATGTTTAAGGGCATATGCAAATTTATTTAATCTCGTAGATACATCGTTTACTTGCAATTTCCAGTTAAAATTTTCATCTATATTTATTCCTAGAAATTTTGTATTTGTTACTGCTTTTATTTTTGGTATGTTAAGATTAATATTATATTTTTTATTATTACATTTATTGAATTGTATATATACAGATATGTCAAGATTTATTTTTAAATTGTTTATGTCAAGCCATTCAATTAATTTATCTATAGTGTTATTTATGTCAGTCTCGTGGTCATTAATAGTATTATCTTTTTTATTAGAAGTCACAATTATTGAAATATCACCCGCGAATATATGCATTTATGATTTGTTATATTAACAATGTCATTTATATATAATAAAAATAAAATTGGGCCAAGCACACTTCCTTGTGGAACGCCATACCTATTGAGTCTATATTCAGACGAGTACGGTATGGGATCCTTATTTCCATCTATTTTCATAATTGTAACGCATTGCTGTCTGTTACTGAGGTATGAGGATATCCACTGAAGAGTTGCCCCCCTAATCCCAAGCTTTTCGAGTTTTTGTAGCAGGAGGTCGTGCGAAACTAAGTCGAAAGCTTTAGATAGATCAAAGAAAAGCCCTGTAGTTAAGTGATTATTATTTAAATTTGATAGTATTATTTTTAGGAGAGAAAAAACGGCCAACGTAGTAGATTTGTCTTTTTGAAAACCGTATTGTTCGTTAATTATAATATTAAATTTGTTGCAGAATTCGATTATTCTTTTATACGTGCACTTTTCATAAATTTTGGACATAATAGGTATCAATGTTATTGGGCGATAATTATTGACGATATGTTTCTCTCCTTTTTTATATAGTGGTTTAACAATGGATATCTTTAATGGATCTGGAAAAGTTCCACACGAAAAGGATAGGTTTATTAAATGGGTCAAGATTCCTATTATTTCGTCTATACAATATTTTATAATTTTTGTACTTATGTGGTCAAAGCCTGCAGAACTAGTATTTTTTAATGACATTATCTTTCTTATAACTTCGTTTTCCGACATGGGTTTGAGAAACATAGTGTTGATGTTATGAGTGTTCTTTAGTAATTTTTTTTGTTTTTGTGTGTGTTGTTTCGTGCGTCGAATTAGTATAGTGGTTATTAAATACAGAGGCTATTTCTATTGGCTCCGTCAAAATATTGTTATTAGTTATAATTTTTTCTATGTCATTTTTGTCATGTGAGCTACCTATTTCCTTTTTAATAATGCTCCACGTGGCCTTACACTTGTTGTCATTTTTATTTATAAAGTTTATGTTGGCAATTTTTTTAGAATTTTGAATACATTTCTGTAATAGTTAGGAATATGTCATATATTTAGCTTTATTAACAGCATTAATTTGTTTTTCTATAATATTGATATCTTAAGAATCTTTTGGTTTTAGAACTTGCTTTAATCCCTTTACTTATCCAATTTTGTATTTTATTATTATTTATATCTACTTTAATTAGTACTTTTGGAAAGCAAAGATTATAAAAAAAGGCACAAAAAATCATGAAAC